GTTATTCACTTTTCGTTTTATTTCTTTAATTTTCGTTTGTCTTTTAAAAAGAAAATTTCCGTAACCCTATTGGGTATTCTAAATTATTGTGTAAGGAATATAAACCCTAATTCCATTAATCACTTCCATATTTAATTTATGACTTTATTTTCATTTAAGTTTCAGGTCTTTACAATATATATTAAATAATTAATTGAGTAAATTATTATTTCATACAAGAAAATTGTGGTGGATTAGGTCTAAAATAAAAAGTGGATATTAATATAGAGCTAATTCTGAAAACATAATTTGGTGACTAAATTGGTTTGATATCCACTCTTTCTCATATTAGTTTGATATCCACTTTTCCTCACATATTGAATAGCTTGGTTATTACCAACTCTTCATGGCCATCTATCTTTCATAAATTGTTAATTTTTAACTATTGATAATAATTATCATTTAGAGAGGTTAAATAAGTTTTTCAAAAAACGTTATTAATTAAACTAAAGTCTAAATCACCTCTTTAATAATTTTAAAAATTCTATCGTGTAACCCTAATATATGTACATTTAATTTCATTATAGTTTCAATTTCTCTTAATCTTCTCTACTAATTCACTTTCCAAACTAATCGAAATAAATTATACATGTAGTATAGCTTTAATTTAAGATTGGAAATAAAATAATTCTTTTAAATAGTATTTGTATGAATTAATTATGTTTCCCAAATTATAACTAAATTAAGTTAATAATTAAATGTGAATGTAAAATAAAACAATATTTTACATTTAATTTACATTTTATTGGTGTAAAATACAAGTAAATAAATTTATAATGCATTATGACTATAATTTCCTTATCCCTAATTTTTTTTTTTCTTATCTATACTATAATACCTAAATCCTAAAACATTTCATCTTCCCTCACCTAGCCATAGGGACATTGTCTTCCATAGCTACGTTCCTTAACATTCTCTCCTAAAAATAATATTTTCTTTTGTTGCACCATACATAACGATCATTGTACATCTTCATCAAGTACTACCACTACTGAAGGATACTCTTCCTCCGTTTGGTGCCAGCGAACCAATCATTGCCTTTTTTTTTACATATTAAAATAAGTTCTATGTAATTACTTATAAATAGTGGGTCAAAATATAATTACTTTAAAATATAGGGTTAATTTTGTAATTAGCCATAAGTTAAATCTTATATATAAATACTTCTTTAAATCTCAATTAATTATATATTCTCACTTTTTATAATTTATAAAATCGAATGTCCTCTCTTTTCTCTCATCTTTGGCTTCTCGAGCAAAGTTCCTCTTTTCCATCGATTTCCTCAAATATTTCTATTCAATGCTAGATTTCTATTAAACATACCTTCAGGTTTATCACAAAATCTTATATGTCATATGAGCTTTTACAAGTTCTTTAATTGATCGGTGGTGAACATTCAATGAAACCCTAGGTTTTGTGTTTCTTGTTTTTTTTGTTCATCAGAAGTTGAAGATCTTGTCATATAAATGGTCATAAATACATCTGAGTTCAAATTTATCGAAGCTTGACGAAGTTATCTTAAATCATTTCTGTTTCTGTCCGAGTGAGAATCCTCCACTCCAACTCAGTTCAATGGTGCTTCAGGTAAAAACTTCCATTATTGGTCTCATTCGATGTGAATGATTTTAATTTTCAAGAATAAGTTGAAGTTTGTAGATAGATCTCTTCATGTTCCCAATAGAGATGATCCTCTGTATGGAGCATGAAACTGATGTAATGCTTTAGTCATTTCTTGGATAATGAGATCATTATCACCTTCCATAGCACATAACATAATCTGGATAGATTGAGCAAATGATTTATGGAAGGATCTGCATGATAGATTCACACAGAGTGATGTAGGGTATGTTTTTGACCTTCAAGATGAAATGTATTTATTAAAGTAAGGAATACATTTGGCTACTGAGTGTTTCACTTAGATAAAAATATTGTGGAATGAACTCTCAAATTTGAGACTTGTATTTGTATGTGAGTGTGAATCGAGATGTGTATGTAATGTCACAAATATAGATAGAAGATATTAGGAAGATGATAGAATAATCCAATTTATTAAAGGATTGAGTGACTCCTTTAGCATAGTGAAGTCTCAAATTCTGTTTACTACATCTTTGTCTCATTTGAATTAGGGTTTTGCACTAGTCTTGCAACATCAACGGTGTCTCAATAAAGAAATATCTATGCAATATGAGTCGAATATACTATATACGAATAAGACTTCTAAAACAGAGTGACCAATACTTATAATTCTGGAGTTACTAAGAGGAATAATGTGGGAGCTAATAATAAACAACTGACCTGTACACATATAGGTGATGTCTATATTTCACCCATATTTGTTCTTCACTATGCTTTGTATACCCCACAATTTCTCCTCAATCTTATATTTATTAGTCGTACAACATTATCAGTAATGCTTACTATTGCATAATAATTATTGCATCATTCAGGGTGCTCACAACCAGAAGACGATTATTATAGCTAAAAAATAAAATGAGTTATATCATCTTGAAACTAATAAAACCAAGGATTTCATCATTGCAAATTATGTTATTTAAACTAGTCCTTTGATTGTTCATCTATTGTTACTAATAAAAACTTATGGCATTTTTGTCTTGATCACCCTTCCTCACCAAAACTTCAAATGCTTTATCAAATAGACAAATTTATCTTATCTTGTTCACCATTTGTCACTTTAGTAAATAAAAGAGACTTTCTTTTCCCATAAGCAATTCAATCAGTTTTTATTGTTTTAATTTAGTGTATTTTGATATTTGGGGACCACCATCAATTGTTTCTCTACATGGTTACTATTATTTCCTCACTATTATTAATGACAAGAGCAACTATATATGGTTGTATCCTACAAAGAATAAGATAGAAGCAAGGAAACATATAATCAATTTCTTTACATTTGTGGAAATATAATTTAATAAAAATATCAAATGTGTTAGGGTGAACAATGGCACATGCTTGAATTTTTGACTGCAAAAGGAACCATACATTAGTGTTCTAGTCCATTCATACCACAACAAAATGGTGTGGTGGAAAGGAAGCACCAATACATCATAAATGTAGCAAGATCCATGTGTTTTTTAAACAAATTTACCAACGAAATTTTAGGTAGACTGTGTACTGCATGTCACTTATCTAATTAACTCTATATTTTCTCCAGTTATCAATAACAAAACCCCTTTTGAGCTTTTATTCAATTTTATTCCAACATATCAACATTTAAAAGTCTTTGGCTACTTGTATTATGTTTTCAATCTTATCCCTAGTTGGTCAAAATTTGATATTCGAACACTCAAATGGATTTTTCTTGGATATCATTCTCACATAAAAGGATACAGAGTGTATGGTTTACAGTATCATAAATTCTTTATTTCTCGTGATGCTGAATTTTTTGAACATATTTTTCTTTTTGCTTCCTCACCTAATAAATATTCATGTGATTTTATGTTGTCTCATATAAATGATTTCATGAAAGATTATAGTGATAATACTTGGTCTATCAAGCAATAAGATACTATAGGTCATGAATGCTCTGAAGCACTAATCATGTATGGTACTACACCTTAATCTTTACCTTTTAATATTCCTATTAATACCTCATCTGATTCTTCATTTAATCACATAAATGAAAATAATGTACTTGATTCAAATGTTTATTTAGATTCTGTTTATTCTGAAATATTGCCTGAAAGTCTATTAGATCTAGGAAACAACCATCTAATTTGCATGACTACTATCTTTATGGTCTTTAGTCCACAATCAATTTTAATGTGTCCACTCCTTACAACTCCAATTATATCTTCTAAATCGTCTGCATTAACAATCCATTATTCTCCCTTAAAGGAAAATTTTAGTAAATAACTAAATATAACTGTTGAATTAAGAGTCAAGTTGGTAATTTTTTCGTACATATGCCCCTCTTGGAGCCCAGGTATCATATACGCCTCCAAAATAAAGAGTCTTAGATATTAGAAGAAAAACACATGTACCTAACAAAATTAAGTGAATATCCAAAATTGTGATCATTTTATTTTTATCTTTCCATACATAACACAAAAATAAAAAAGATTCTTCAAGAGTCTTAGGTCAGACTATTAATTTCTCGTGCTGGAAAGAGGCAATGCAAGTTAACCAGTACAAATTAAAAAGAAGAGTAGATAGCTTTGTAGAACGATACAAACCCAGGTTAATAATCAAGAGTTATACTTGCAATCTGGTGTGGATTATCTTGATACTTTTTTACCTATTACTAAGTTAACCATAATCAAAACTTTGCTTGCTATTGCTGTTGTTAAGGACTTGTTCCTTCATCAGCTTGACATCCATCCATTGCTTTTTTACATATTAGTTTGCATTGAGGAAGTGTATATAATTTTACCACCTAGTTCTCAGACTAATCAGAAGCTACATGTATGTAAATCGAAGAAAATCTTTGTAGGGCTTAGAACAAGCTAGTAGGCAATAGAATTTCAAGCTTACAAAAACATTAAAAAGCCAATGTTTTATGCAGGTTTACTCTTATTCTTCATTGTTCATCAAGCATTTTGATTCGGATTGTTCATTAGTTGTAAGTTAAATACAAATACTTCTTTAATTCTCAATCAATGAAATAATTCTCACTTTCCATAATTTACAAAATTGAGTGTTCTCTTTTTTCTCTCATTTTTGGCTTCTGGAGCACACTTCCTCTTCTCCACCGATTTGCTCAAATCTTCCCCATTCAATGGTAGAATTCTATTAACTACACCTTCTGATTTATCATAAAATCTGATAATATATATACTTGATTATAATACATATATATATATATATATATATATATATATATAAGAATTAAGACTTTTGATTAACCTATTATGTATATAAAATGATTAGATATTTGGTTGACTAGACTAATGTTAGAAAATTGTCTATCTGAGAAAATTCTCTCATATTTCAAACTCCTTGAATACAAGATTCAACCACAATATATAGCTAGGAAAGAAGCATCCCTGTTCTCAGAACACAACAAATATCTATCTACAAGTACACAGTTTTACAACCGATATCAACTGATTTCTTGATTGCATCTAACACTAACTGAGTCTTCCTGCAAATCTCGCCACACCTTTTATCAGGTGGGAGCCCTAATCCTCTAATACCATTTACAAGGTTTGCTAGTTTTTGAACCATACTCGCCTCCTGCGGCAACCCACAAGCTACAACTACCTTTTCAGGCTTCACATTCCACCCAACATGGAGATCAACGAACTTGGCTCCTATTGTGAACTCGAAGCAAGCAGAATCCTCCACAAATGGGATTATGTAATCTTTTACATACAGGGAACCTTTGGAGCCTATCACCGTTAGTTCCGTAGAGAGGTGCGAAAGGAAAGAGAAGTGGATTGTTGCGGAAGTTTTGTGGGCATGGTCAAAATGGAGGGAGGCCGTGCAGGACATGATTAAGCCGTGTGAGTTCTTTGTCACATCTGGTAGAGCAGTCGCTGAGGTTGGGAGTTCATGGTTTTTGATCCACAAAACAGCGGCGACACAGTGCCAACCGAGCTCGCCGACGGTGCCAAGAGACCCGAAGGTGTCGGCGTTTAGTTTGTCCAAGAATGCAGGTGGTATAGAAGTTGTCAATGTGCTGTATATCTTGGAATTTGGAAGAAAAAGAAAACCCAGATGAGACCCAAAAGAAACTTTAAACCTAATTTGAATAAAAAATTGAAATTTTCAAAAAAGGCTAAAACTTTCAGAACTTACATGATCAATATCTCCCAAGCAATGAGAATCAAGAAGCATATTCTTGATTTTAGCAGTACGGGGATGATAGAACCAAATGGTTCCATCCATGAACTGCACGCCGTTTGACTCACATTCACCCAAAATCTCATCCAACTCCTCTAAATTTAGAGCCGTCGGTTTCTCAACCAGCAAATGCTTCTTATTTTTAGCAGCTAACAATGCCCAGTGGCCGCGTACACTTGGCGGCGACGCCACGTACACCACATCCACGCATGGGTCGGCAACGACCTGATCGTAGCTTCCGTATATCTTGACGGTATCTGGAGCTCCGTTAGCGGCCACGAACTGCTTCGCTGTTTCGAGAGAAGGGTCTCCAACGGCGTGAAGAACGGAGTTGGGAGCTAAGTTGATGGCTCTGCCAATTTTTCCTGCAGCCTTCGCGCATCCGATGATACCAAAACGCACCGGATTATCTCCCATCCTCGATTTGCTTTGTGGTTTTGTTTCTTGCGTTTAAGGGAGAGGTCCGTCGAGCGTTTTGTCAGGTGTGCGGTTGGACTTGGGGATGAGATGATAATGCTTTGCAGATTCATTTATTTTGGGCCATTTAGTTTTAATTATTTCTTCTAACAAAAAAATATATTTTTATCTATAGAGTATGATAGATAGTGAAATTATACGGGGAAATTTTTTTTTTTTTAAAAAAGAAAAAAACTCCGAAATTTCATAAATACATACTTCTTAATTTTTATTTTTAGAATTATTGAGATATTAGTTAGAGATGATACACGAGTGGAGTTAGTTATTTCTCTAATAAAGAGAGGTATGTCATTTAATTTAAATTTTATAAGATTCATTCCATTTAGATATAAATATGTTTTTTTTTTTTTTGTATATGTTCTAATAGTAAAAATCTTAATTCATATCAATTCGTACCATTCTAATAGTAATATTAATTTATATATATTCCATATGAAAAATTATTTCCTATTACATGTTATGTGCACAAAACTTTCTGTTCACCCATGTCTAATTTACCAAAAATTTTATAAAACATTTACTAAAATTAATTAAAAATAACAGATATTAATAAATATATAATATTACATATTTATTGAATAAAAATAAAAATAAAAATAAAATCTTATTAAATATATATATCATTAAATTCAGATTCACCTTATACTCGGTTTTAATTCACATGATACCCAGATAAATTATTCAATTTGGAGATCCAAAACAAAAACACGATATTAATAGTACCTTGCTAATTGAGAAATCAATCTGCACTTTCTTATTAAAGAAGAAAAAAAAAAAAAAAAAAGAAAAAGAAAAGAGCTTTTCCATTAACGGCTGTAAAATCATTATACAATTATTACATGGTGTACAATTTATTTATTTATTTATTTATTTTCTAAACCAATAAACAATTGTATAATAAGAAATCAATAGACTGTTCTAGGATTTATTAATTGGGCTGTGGGCCCACTTGCTGACGTGGCCAAATTACAACTGTTTTCACATAGTTCCCTTAAACCCTTCATAAACCCATTATATACATACCAAAGAATCATTGTCACTCCATCTCTTCTCCATTCGTAATTCAATCTGCAACATCAACCCTAAGCCCCATTTGATTTTGAAGCACCTCCGTTGTTTTCTTCTTCTTTTTCTTTGTTGATGTTGCACACCTCATCTGTTTCTGAATCATAACAATGGAATCTGAATTCTCTCAGGAATCACAAAAGCAAGCGTACGAAGCAGTAGTTTCAAATGATTTGACTCTAATGGAGACACTTCTGGTTAACGTTCTTGCCAATCAAGAACCCCAGAGATCTCAGGCATTCCAAGTTTTACTCTGTTCCAAGAAACATTTCCCAGATCTTCTTTTCAACAAACTCTTCTTTCTTCTTCGTCAAAGCACTTCTGTGAATACTCGTGCCAATGCCGCACAAGTTCTCAGATTTCTCCAAGTTCGTGATCTTTGGCCGACCTTGACGGCGACTGGTAAATCCAATTTCAAAACCTGTTTCATTGAATTACTCCTCCGAGAAAATTTAATGCCGGTTGTAAGGCTGGAGTGTCGTCTAGTCGCCGATGTGCTCTGCGAAATTCTCAAGGCTCGTGATCAATGGCCGGAACTTGTTGATTTTGTATTGACGTACGGTGTTCAGCAACGGAACGAGAAGCTTCAAGAAGCTATTCTATTGATATTCTCTCATTTTCCCAAGGATTACAGAGGGCTTATTTGTGAAACCTTTGGTTTATTGACTGAAATTCTCTGCAAAATCTTACAAGGAGGATTGACTTCCAAGAATCTTGAGATCAAAGCTGCAGGTCTGGCCGCTTTCTTTTGTTTCACCCATTTGTTATCCAAGCCCGCTGAACATGACAAGTTTCTCAAACTGCTACATGCGGCCATTGATGCAGTGGTTCAGTTACTCTCTGAATCTAAAGAAGACGACGCAGAAAAATTCATGGGGGAATTCATGTTATCTTTGAGGGAGAATTCCCAGTTGTTTAAACCATATGTTAATAACTTACTGATGCATCTAGTACAGATTGTAGAAGCTCAAGAGTTGGCGTTTGAAATTAAGCTCTTCGCTGTGAAATTCATAATCAGATTGTTGGACACCAAAGATTTGGAAACTACATTGATGGGTTTGGATACTACGGATATAACGAGGTTGTTCTCAGTTTCAATGAGCATGCTTCTCTGTATTGATGATGATATTTCATGGTATATAATTGGGAATGAAGAAGGTGAGAATGCAGGGAAGACAGAGTTATACAACCAGGGAATTGAGTGTTTGAAAAGAATTTCAATTATTTACAGAACTCAGATTGTGCCTGTTGCATTTAAATGGTTAACACCTTATATGGATTCAATGGAATGGCAGAATCGCCATGCAGTGATTACCATGCTTGGAGAAATATCAAAAGAGTGTTCTGATGAAATGGTACATTTACAGAACAATCTTTACCCTCTAATAACATTATATAGTCTGTTTATACTAGCCCTTTCATTTTTCTTGGTGCAGATCATGACAAAAGAAAATTACTTGGAGGAAACAGTTAACATGATAATCAATTCATTCCAAGATCCTCATTTCCGAGTTCGAAGCGCTGCATTTGGTTTCATGCAACTCTCCACAGATTTAGTGCAAGTTTCACAAATCCTTCATCATCCTAGGATTTTGCCTAGGCTAAGTGATGCCTTTGACAGAAACAAACATCCCAGATTGAAGGTCTACAGTTTCTGAATTTCTGAAAATTCATTTTCATCTGGTTGAAAACTTTGTGTTCATCGTTTAATTTATGCAAACACATTTCTTAGGAACAAGTTGCAGCAGCATTCTTATCCTTGGCAAATAATCTTTCTCCGGATTGCTTAGCACAGTACATGAATTTGAATAATATTATGAGCAAATTGCTTATAATGCTGCTGGTAAGAATTCCGATTTCCACCGCCGTCATTAATTAGGAAAAAAAAAAAAAACCCATCTCACAAATTACTTGAACAACATTGGGAAATATATTGTATGTCTACACATGTACAAGTACATTTAGAAATGTATGAATATGTGTACATATCAGTATGAAGAAAGAGTTGATATATAGTGGGATTAACTTTGGTTTTGTCAACACAGGATAATGATGAAACAAGTACAGCAAAATGGAGTGCATTAAGTAGTTTAAACATTCTCACCCAGAGCTGCCGGGAAGTAGCTTCCAAGTATGTTTTCCTCTTACCTCACATGAGTAGTAATAAAATTAGTGATTTGTGTTTGAAAAATATTATTGGAATAATAATACTTAAGACTCGAGATATTATAATAAAAATACATCTTTAATCTTTGTTCTTGGCAGACACTATGGCAATTATGTATCGATCTTACTTAAACTCTGCAATAACCAAAATGCACAAATAAAACAGGTTTCTTACTTTTTCTCCTCTTGTTTTGTTTTGCACAGATTATTGATGTATGTATGTACGTGTGCATTGTTTTATTGTAAGGACTTGTTTGTTGGTAGGAAGCCATACGTGGAATTCGAGTCTGTGCAGAGTTTGGTGGAACTGACTTTAGACCATTTATTAATGGTAGCTTGCTAGCTCTACTCTACTTGTGTATTATATATATATATATATAATACATAAATATAATCGAATTCTCCTTTTAATGTTACGTTTTGAATTCATATTTGTAAGATTTACGACCTGTATGTGTAGAAGCTGTTTCGAAAATAAGTGAGATTATTGAGAACAGCAATAGGTCGCAGGGAGAGGATGTAAGAGCATTTGATATTGCAGTCTGTGCTCTTGGAAAAATATGCGAGTCTCATCGGACCAATATTGATGTCAGCAAGGTATTTTTATTATTTTATATTAAATTTCATACGAATTTAATTTTATTTATCATTTGAATTAGAAATTTAAATTTACAAAAACACAAACACAGGAAGGATAAATTTGTAGAAGAAATTTATATCTTAGAGAAAAGTTTTAATTGAATTATGCATAAATTTATAAAGATAAAAAATTCTGATAATTTGGCAGCTTCTTTCTAAATGGTTAAGTTTGTTGCCACTTACAAGTGATGTGCATGAGTCAAAAATTGTTCATCAACAGCTTTGCCATATGGTTGAAAGGTTAGTGCAATTTTTATTTTTATTTTTAATTTAATTATGATTTGTACGTTTTATATATATATATATATATATATATATATAATTAAGTTAATTTTTGTATTTATATTTGATTTTTAATATTTCAGGTTGGATGAGAAACTTCTGGGTTCCAACAACGAACACCTTCCCAAGGTTATTTGGGTTTTGCTTGAGGTAAACTATTGGCTTCTTGTTTCTTGATGTTCTTTTTATTTATTTATTATTTATTATTTTTTTACTGCGAGTAAATGGCTTAATCTACCTGGTCACATGATTTAATCATGTTTTTGTTTGTGGTAAATTTTGATCTGTAGGTAATTAGACAAGGCAAAGGTGCAAGTATTAAGTGGATGCGTAATTTGGTGAAACAAATTTGGGGAAGGCTTTCACATGAAGCTGCCTTCGTAATTTTCTCTTCCCTAAACCCCCAACACCAAAAGTTACTCACCTCTCTGTAATATTTACAGTCTATACATATACATACTCTGTCCCGTTAATTACCATACTGTAAATTTACATCATAATCAGTGAATGGAAATAGTTTTCAGATGATATTGTTGAAAAAAATTTTATTCTATTCTCGGTTCAATTAATAAATTTTATTTTATTTAATATGTAAAAATTAATTATGATTCATTTATTTTTAGTAATAGAACTATAAATTTATATTTTTAGATATTAAATAATAAATCATAAAAAATTTAAACCCTATTTAGTGTTTTTTTTAATTAATTAATTTTTTTTGAAAATGGATATTGTTATTTATATTTTATAAAGATAAAACTCATGGGTCAATTTACTTTCTATTTCTGACATAGTACGCACAAGTATATTCTTTAATTGTTTGAACTAAAATGATTTTTTTTTTTTTTCTTTTTAGGATAATGAGTATATGGTTATTGTGCAAGAGTGTAAAATAATAGAGGATAAGATGGTTGTGATTTTTTTATTTAAAAAATTCTTTTTGTCATTAATTATATTTTAGTTTTCATTTTTACTCATTACTTATTATTTAATAAAATTCTATTTTAAATATATTTCTGGGCTAAATTAGTTCTTTAATTAAATTTAAATTGATTTTCTTGTCGTATGCTCTAAACGTGTTTTTATTTTTATTTAATTCTGCTTTAGTTTTATTTTCTATCACGTGCACACCAAACACTTCTTAAAATATTATTATATTATAAATCAATAATTATAATATCCTTTTATTAACAAATATATAGATTTTATATCGATCACAATTTTATTTTCAAAATATCTCTACTAAACCTTTAACGTTAATCGAGGAAACGTCGTCGTTTAAGGAGTCTCCCTCTTGTCACTGTTTTTTCTCCTCCTCCTCCTCCTCCTCCTCCTCCTCCTCCACTCCAAGTGAGGAATCTAAACGGGGTCAAGTCAAAACACTCACCGAGATTCACAGTGAGGCAGAGGAGTGAAATGAGGAAGGATGTTTTGGCATTCGTGGGGATGATGATGGCAGAGTGTGCACAAACTGGTCTCATGATAGCGGGCAAAGCAGCCATGTCTGACGGAATGAGCAACTTCGTCTTCGTCTTCTACTCCAATGCCCTTGCCTCTCTTCTTCTTCTTCCTTCTTCTTATATCTTCTACAGGTACTTTCTATCTATCAAAACTCAGGTTAACTTTCCGTGCTAACTTTGCTATGAATTATACAAATAATCTCTCCACACAGGTCACGGCGTCCTCCGCTCACTTTTCCCATTCTCTGCAGTTTCTTTATTCTTGGCTTCATTGGGTATGTTTGATTTCGTTTTACATGGAAAATATTTATTTATCTGTGCGGATTTGCGGCGTCGATTTGGTTGATTTATACTAATTTTGTTATAACGCAGCTTTTTAGTTCAGTTTATTGCGTATGCTGGGATTTTCTATAGCTCGCCTACTTTGGGGACTGCCATGCTCAATCTTATCCCAGGTCTTACCTTTATACTAGCCGTCATTTTCAGGTTATGCTCGCCTTCTGCCTCATGATAATATTTATTCATGATCAAACTGTTTAGCATGGTTTCTGATTATTTCCTAATGTGGTCAAATTTCTCTAATTATGAACTTACATCTTGCTGTGTAAGTTGAACCAAAAAAATAAAATAGAATTAGTTGACTATCTTTGGAATTCTTGAACTTAAGCATGCATTGAAGGGGCGGTAGTTGAGAGAACAAATTAGTGGGTACCAACTGACACTATAAACTTCCATGTTTGGCCATCATCTTCTACCTTGTGATACGTGAATTTGAATTTCCAAGAGCACTCACGCCCTTGATTTGACATGGATTTTCAGCTACTGAAACCCAAATAATCAAATTCATGTTGAAGGTGGTAGGGTCTGGCTCTTGAAAAATTCTTATAGCAATGTGAAAGATGATCCTTTTTAATGTTCTCCTTTTAAAGCCTCATTTACTGAATCTCAACTTTACTTTGCTTACATTTCACTTCAACTGTCTCAAATTAATGTTACGTTGGTAGTTTGTACACAATAAAGATACTGAAATGATGCAGAATTTGCATGCTCCTTGTTAAAGAATATTTGGTCTGTGGGAGGAAATTGGGATATGGTTTTGTTTCCTCGGCTCTCTTGCACCTTCTTCACCTGTAAAAGGAGAAACTACACAGGCACACTATTTTCAAAATATCTTATTATTTATGCTTACAGTTGCAACAGGGAATAAAATGCCATGATTTTTGTTTTCTTACAGACTCAGTAGTCCCGCAGGCAAGGTCCCTTTTTTTTTTGAAAGAAAAGTGTACAAAATATATTGATATGAGGTGTCAAGGGGGCGCCGCCTATGTACAAAAGATTTACAAGTCAATAAGAATATTTACAACTGACCCTAAATCTTCAAAATGGTTAATATTATGTTCCAGTACAGTGTAACCAAAAAAGTGAAGCCATTTGCTCAGAATGTTGCCCAATATTTCTTCTTTTCCTTCAAAGGCTCTATTGTTTCTTTCTTTCCAGATAACCCAGAAAATAGTGAGCTGAATGAAGTCTCAATTTCTTATTTCTCCTGCACACCAGATCCCAAGCGAATAATTCTTCTTGGACACAGCCAGCCATTACCCAACAAATGTCAAGTAGACTATATACCATACTCCATAGCTTGTGAGTGATAGGGCACCAAAGCAAAAGGTGATTACTAGTTTCAGCATTGTTTTTGCATAGATAACATCTGTTTGTTAGCGAAAAGCCTCTTTTCATGAGATTGTCAATGGCCAAAATGCGTTCCTTGGAAGCTTCCCTAGTGCAAAAAGAAATTTTGGTAGGAGCATTTGCCCTCCAAATCATTTTGGCAAGAAAAGTATTTACCACAATTCTGTTATGTCCCGCAAGATAATTATAGTATGATTTTATGCTGAAGGAGCCTTTCCTTTCCAGCTTCCAAATCAGCTTATCATCTGAGCTGTTGAGCTGAATGATGTTCAGTACATACAGAAAATTGTCGTATTCCACAATTTCCGAATCTTTTAAATTCCTATTGACCACAATGTTCCAACCAATGCCATTATTTTTGTCAAAAGCTTCCTCAATTATGATATGTTTATCCTTAGAGAGGGCAAAAATAAGAGGAAACAGGGTCTGCAGATTGTAATCCCCACACCAGAAATCAGACCAGAACTTGACTTTGTTGTCTTTTCCCACTTTCCATCTAGAGCACTCAAGCACAGAATGATTAGTGTAAGAGATTCCCTTCCACAAGCTCATAGCGGAATTACTTCTATCCAACAACGGTGATCCTGTCTTCCATTCAGATTCTACTTGCAATCCACCACATTTTTCCGAAGACTGTTAGTGTCATTCCGGTATCTCCAATCCCACTTACCATGCAATGCCTTATTCAGAATGTTGAGGGATCTCAGACCAAGACCACCAGAGTTGATAGTAGTCTTGACCTCGTCCCAATTTACAAGATGGAACTTCTTTTTGCTATCCTCATTCCCCCAAAGGAAATCACATTGAATTCTTTCAGGTCTTTTAGCCACCTTTGCCGGAATAGTAAGGGTTGAAAGGTAATATGTTGGGAGCTTGGATAGCGTACTCTTGATAAGGGTCAATCTCCCATATTTAGACAAATAATTTCTCTTCCATGATGCAAGACGTTTTTCAAAGTAATCAACCATCGGTTCCCAACAGTTGCCATCTTTATGCTTCGCCCCAAGAGGTATACCAAGCTATTTAATAGGTAGATTTGCAGGTTTGCAATCCAGAACCCGGGCCAGGTCATCCACCTTGCTGTCATGCCCAATCCCTACCAATTCACACTTGAATAAGTTAATTCGTAAACCAGAGGCAGCTAGGAAGCATAGTAAAATACATCTTAAATGCAGATGCTAACTTCCGGTTGACAAGAAATGAAAGTGTCATCGGCGAAAAATAAGTGGGTTATCTCCATTTTCTTTTCATTGCCCACCAAGATTCCTTTAATGAGATTTGAGTTTGTAGCTTGTTCAATAAGTTTATTTAATGCTTCCATTACTATAATGAAAAGTAGCAGGGAAAGGGGGTCGCCTTGTCTTAAGCCTTTAAATGCATTAAAGAATGTAGACTGGCCTCCATTTATCATAACCGCAAAATTTGTTGCGGTGATGCAAGTCTTGATCCATTTTCTCCATTTCTTACCAAAACCGAACCTATCAAGCATGTAATCAACAAAATTCCAACAGACATTATTGAAGGCTTTCACCATATCCAATTTACATAATATTCCTCCCTTTTTGCTACTAATCTTATGTACTTTAGCATCTTGGTATGGATACCTCTTGCATGACAGGGATAGTTATGGCCATTCTTGTTAAGATTGTATGGTATTTATGGGACCTCATTTGAACTTATAATTTGTAGAGTTCCAAGGTACAGAAATGGAATTTAGAAACAAAATCCGAATCAAGCATTCAAATGAACCTCCCACAGGATGACTCTTGTTCACAAGAGTTCCTCTTGGCTACTATAGTTAGTGATTTCTTCTTAACTTATCTCTGCAATTTGTGAGAGTCTTGTTTTCTATTCAAGTGCACTGCATTCTTTGACATATTTTCTGGTTCTGCTGCAAGTATTTGCTTCAAATATTTCATGAACACTTAAAATGCTTGCTACATGGTAGTGAACAATGTTGAAATTAATTTGTGAACAGATAATGCTGCTGTGTTGTGAACTGATTTGACTAATTTGGGATTGGTGGTTTCAGGATGGAAAGACTTGAATGGAGAAGCTTCAGTAGCATAGCTAAATCAGTAGGAACTGTTCTGTCAATTACAGGTGCATTCATAGTGACTTTCTACAAAGGCCTTCCCCTTCTGATGACATCTTCAATGTCAAAGTCTTCTCGTCTGCTTCTCTTGCAACTGTCAGAGTGGGTGACTGGAGGATTACTCCTTGCTATTTCCTGTGTGCTGGCTTCAGCATGGCTTATCATACAGGTGCAATTTATTTTTAAAAACAAACAGTATGGTTGAAAATCTTGCCATTTTTCCTCTTGTTTCTGCATTTCCTTTGTGCATAAAAAAAAAAAAAGAAAAAAAAAAAAAAAAAAAAAACTGAATCATAATTCTCAAACTATAAGGCTTCAGTCCTGAAGAAGTATCCTTTGGCGCTCATTGTAGTCTCTTATTACTGCCTCTTTGTGGCCATTCAATCTGCAATAGTCAGTTTGGTTATGGAAAGAGATCTCAGTGCCTGGAGCTTAAAGCCTAAAGTCAGGTTGATTGCTGTCTCGTACTCGGTGAGTAGATTACCCAAAAGGAAAAATAAACAACAAAAACACCACCATGTCTTTATATGCGGTAAAAACATACTTGCTGAGTTGGACCTTCAATTCCAAAACATGTAGGCAGTTTTTGGGTCTGCATTCCAAGTTACCGTTTCTGCATGGTGCTTACATCAGACAGGACCTGTTTTCGTTTCCATGTTCAAGCCATTGGGAATTATCATTGCAGTTGCTGTTGGTGTCATCTTTTCAGGGGATACATTCTATCTTGGAAGGTAGACTGTTGGATGCTTGCTTTTCTTCAGATCTTACTCAATTTCATAATGAACACGGATTTCCTTGATTAGGCTTTTGAATTTAGATTTTTTTTCATTCCCAATCTTTTATTCTGTGTCTCTCACTGTCTCTCTATATTTATAAAAA